CTTCCAGGGTCCTTCAGTTACTCCTATGTATACTTGTTTCTTGTTTAGGAAGGGGTTCCCGGTACTCTCTCTCTCTCTCTCTCTCTCTCTCTCTGGCCTCTGTATCTCCAGTTGTGTTGATCTATCCACTACTCTTCTCCTCATCCTTTCTTCTATCACTCCTATCTGATCTTGCTCCAAATTTTCTGTAACCCCTTGCGTCCTAGTGGCTTTCCGCCTTGCTTGGGGTGAAACGCTTAAAAAAATAAAAATAAAAAAATCGAAAAAAGCCAGATAAACTTCCAAGAACTTGTATGAAGAGTTAAGATATCGAAGGTGTTTATGATTAGATATTTTTTTTATAAGATTTAAGGTTTGTTCTAATTATTTCGCTTAAATTCAGGACACAAAAAATCTAGAAACCAACTTGATTGCAATTACGTCCTGTCAGATCAACGGTGATATTGGCAGCGTGCACTGTCAGAGTTTTTTTTTCTTCTTCTCGTTAAACAAGAGGTTGATTAACTTTCCCCCTTGAGGAAAGTTTTCGAATAAAGTGGGCTATTATTACTAAATGGATTCTAAAAGAAAACGTAAAGAGTAAATGAAACTTAAACCCAAGCGTTAATTTTGATGTCCACGTGAACTGAAAGGTCCTACCTAGGGTGATGGAATATTTATGAAGAATGATAAATTTAGTTTTTAGTGATGAATAAATAGAATAATTAAACAAGATAACTTTTCAATAGCACAAGATTAACTAAAGCTGAAAGTGTTCATTTGTACACAGGAATTGCTTTTCATTGCGAAGTCGGTTTTATGTTTGAAATGTTTGGGCTAAATTTGAATATCAAATGAACTGATGCTGTTGTTAAATTTAAGGACATCTAGAGTTTTAAATATGTTGTATTTGCTGTCGCTTAACTATCTATGCAAATGGAGAACTGTTGCCCGTTCCATGAATTTTTGCCACTGAGGTTTGTTCTTTTAGGTCACTAAGTTTTTGTCTGCTTCTTACCGATTGACCTCTCTGTATAAGTTAGACCTTCCAAGAGAGAAACTCTCGCACTTAGGGTCAAAGAAACACATCAGCCATGAAGTTAATTTTATATTCCGTTTATACTAGTTATTGCAAGAGGCATATCTATCTGTTCACTATCTGTTCACTATCTATCTATTCATTATAGTGATTTTCCAAGCGTAGCTTAGACGTGGCACAAGCCCGAAAGTATGGGGCACCTAGTGAGGATCGAACTCACTACTCAGTTGTAATTGTTCTAGCGAGGTGCCCTCTCTCTATTCATTATATATCTACCTACCTGTTCATTATCTATCAATCTATCTACTTATTATATACATATCTGCTCATTACCTATCTTTCTGTCTATTTATTTATTATCTAGCTATATATTCGTTACACACACACACACACATATATATATATATATATATATATATATATATATATATATATATATATATATATATATATATATATATATATACCTGTTCATTATCTAGTTACCTGTTCATCATTTATCTGTTGATTATCTCTGTAAATATTATAAATATTATATATATATATATATATATATATAATATACCTGTTCATATCTATTTATCTAATTCATTTATCTATCTATCTATCTATCTATCTATCTATCTATCTATCTATCTATCTATCTGCTCATTATCAATCTATCTGTCTATTTATCTATTTTACTCGAGCAGATTATGCATATTGTTGTAGGGAACGAACTGATAACCCTTAGTATACAAAGAACTGATACACCTCTATTAAAAGGACTCTTCCACAAGGAATATACGCATCTATGGTGTTGTTCTCAGGCGGGGGGGGTATACTTTCCAGCTTAAGCTTGAGCAAGCACCAAGACCTCGAACTCTCTGCTTTCGAGGAGAGAGGAACCCAGACGAGGCTATGCTGAAGGGTAGAGTCTCGTTTGGGGAAGTAGGCAAACCCGACCCCGTGCATGCGGGGTCTACAGGGAATTTTTCACCGAGCCTGCGGGCTTGGATCACACCACATAAAAATTGGCCTTGTGCCATATCCTGCCCCGTGGGGAGGTGGGGGTAAATACAAGCTTGTTTTCCAGCTTCAGATAAACTTGTAAACATCTACTTGTATTGTTCTTGTTTAATATAAACCCTTATACTTAGTTATTATTTTGAATAACAACCACGAACAACATTACAAAAAACACACACACACACACATACATACATATATATATATATATATATATATATATATATATATATATAATGAGAATCCACGTATACTTTCTTAATATGTATATATAGAAAAAAAGTTTCAAATTAAAAAATAATAATGTTTTATTTTATGAAGTATATATATATATATATATATATATATATATAAATACTTTCATGAAATAAAACATTATTATTTTTAATTTGAAACTTTATATATATATATATATATATATATATATATATATATATATATATTTCCATTCTATCCCTCATTATTTGGTGTGTTCAAAAATCGGTTTTGTTTTTGACACGTTTGTGTTAAAATTAGACTTTTTTATCATTACTCATATTGATAATATTCAATATTTATTCAGATTTGTGTTCCTCGCAGATTTCAGAAGACCTTTAATCGGGTAAAAACGTAAAATAAAAGTTGCTGAGAATAGAATTTCGCAGTTGTCTTTATCTACAAAGAAATGTTTGATTTTTCTCCAAGAACCTTCATTTCTTTCTTAGCCTTTTAGTTAATAAAGAAAACTTTCTTAAATCAGACGATCATCCATCAAAGATAAAAATCAATTAAAATAAGATAGACTTTAAAGAGAGAGAGTGAGAAACTATCAAACGTCAGTCGCGTTACATTAAGAATCCATAAGTTTCTCAAGCAACGACGCAGAAAATATTTAAAAAAAAACAAAAACAAACTGCCACATGCCAGTCCCAAAGTCTTTGCAATTATAGAGGAAAAGTGGAACTGAATAGACATGTTGCAGATGGTCGTACGACAAGCGCCGAAAGATAAACAAATTCGGCGACTTGACTCACTATTTTGCTCAGAAGAGAAATACCGAGCGGAAGCTGTCCAACGAATTTTGAGAAAACGTTTCTGCGTTTCTTTACAGTTGTCAGATTGTGACACTTCGGTCTGTTTTCTGTGGTTAGTATCGCGAAAGGAAACATGTAACTACTGGGTGGGATCGTAATAAAACTTATTCGGTCTTGCTTGAAAAGCTATCAGATATACTTTGAAAATGTTCTTATTATTACCGAATTGCAATTTGAATAAACTATTATTTTGAACTTTGACCTTCCCTCTTTTCTGCCTTCTTCCTTCTCTTTTTTTTTCTTCATCTTTTTCATTTCTACTTCTAGTTCTCGTTTCTTCTTTCTTACACTTTTTCTTTAAAATCTTCCTCTTCTTTTTCTTACAATTTTCTTTTCTCTTCTTTTCTCTCTTCTTTCCTGCGTTGTTTCTTTTCTTTTTTTCTTTTGTTTCTTCTTTCTTGTACCTTTTTTTTCTTCTTTTCTTCCTTTCCTTCTATTCTTCCTTTCCTTCTTTACATATAATTTTTTTTCTTTATATTGTTCCTTATTTTTCTTTCAATTTTCTTCATTTTTTTTATTCGTTATTCCTACTTTTTTTATCTTGTTTATTTTTTTTTATCTCCCCCCTTCTTTTTTCTTCTTCTAAGATTTATACTTTTTTATTTCTTCTACTTTATTTTTCTTCATCAAATTATAATTCTTCTGTGTTTCATTTTTTACTTCTTTCATTTTTCTTTTTTTTCTTTCTTATTCTTTCTTTCTTTCCTCTTTTTTTCTCTTTCTTTTCTACGGTATTTATTTTACTCTCTTCTCATTTCGCGTTTCTTTTACTTCATTCATTTACTTTTCCTCCTTTATCTTTTTCCTTCTTCTTTTTCGTATTTATTGCAAAACACAGACATGTTCACACGAAGACAAAACAAGCATACGTCGCCATTAAGCTCACATTAATATAAACAAAATGTCTTATTATAAACGTTATATTTAGTGGGCACACATTTTTAGGAACAGTTGTTATTAATTTCACTGTTTATGAAAATTAAAAACAAAACAGTGATAGAAACTCAAATACGTGTACACACTAATAATAGCATTTATAGAAATATGAAATAATTTATAGCATTTATATATAATAATATTATATATATATATATATATATATATATATATATATATATGTGTGTGTGTGTGTGTGTGTGTGTGTGTGTGTGTGTGTGTGTAAATAAAAAAAGAAAGAACAGTAAGATATATAATCCGGTGTTCTTATAGATATTTTTATTTTTCCAAAATAGTGCTCAATGTAAATTTACAGAGCTTTAATATTATAAATTAATTGATTTAAAATACGTTTTTTTCCGCTACACAGTTCTAACCATGTTTCAAAAATGGAAGCTAAAAAGCCCTGAATTTAATTTTGTAATTAAATTAAAGACATTAGTTACATTTCATCCTCAAGCGAATATATATATATATATATATATATATATATATATATATATATATATATATATATTATAGGCAAAGCTCTTCTATGAATCGAGAACTCGGGGTTACTGGCGTGTTTATTCAAAAATACATACGTAAAAATTCACATTCCTCTCTGCTGGGAGCTGATAGCTTAGGGGAAAATTCTCCGACTGATGCCAAATCAGTCGCGTTTCGATCCTGGCTTGAGGCAGTCGGACGTCTAGTCACACTGATGAGCTGTGATACAGCGAAACAGTCTCTCTGTGGATGACTATATATATATATATATATATATATATATATATATATATATATATATATATAATATAGCAATAATAATAAAAAAATACATGTGTATTCACTTAATATAATGTTCATATTCAGATTTTTTAAAAATGTCGGACTAAAAATCCATCAATTCTTTGGAAATTATAATAGTTCTCTTTATTCGGACATGTTGGCACTTGATACCATCGCATCTTCAATGTACTGGCTTACGGCCATATCATGTTGAAACACCGGTTCACGTACGATCACCAAAGTTAAGCAACATCGAGTGTGCTCAATACCTAGATAGGTGACCGTTTGGGAATATCACGTGCCGTAAGCTTGGATGTGCGGGCGGTGTAATAGAAAATAGCTCTGATTTGGAAATCGGAGAGCCGAATTCCAATCCCAGTTGGGTTCGTTTTATTCACTTAGGCGCAAATACCCTTGGAAATCTACGTCTTCTACCCCCAGGTATGGATTAATTAGTAGAAGTACCAGTAAACCATTATTATCTAAAAAAAATCATTACAATTTAAAATATAATTTTTGACTTTAAAAATCTGAAAAAGGTTGATAAACCGTAAAAACAAATCAACAAATCAATCCCTAAACATGGACAGCAGAACGAGAAGAATTTACTCTCGATCCAATCTACAAACTGTACAAACTATAAAGAATATGTATTCTATTTGTACGAACCTATCCTAAAAATCTTGTCGGCATTAAATAACCCTTTGAGATTGATATCCCGTAAAACAAAATAAACCAAACCAAATCTACCCCTGTAGATTAAATACAGGGTGCGGCTGGTATTTGAGGACATACAGATTTAAGATTAATATTGCTTCCAACTAAATTCTAATGCTTTTATTTTTCAGAAATCAAGAATGACAAACCTTATGATAACAAATGAAATGAAAAGGCATGCTGTGATTGTGGCATTAAAGGCCGATCATAGCGATTTGGATATTGCACGTTTCATCAGAGTTGCAAGATCGTTTGTCCACAAGATACGAAAAGAGTTAGAAGATGCTGACAGTTCCCCAATGTCTGTATCAAAACGTGAAAGACATTCTGCACGTTCTGATAAAGTGAGAACATCAGAATTTATTCAGGAAGTCAAGCAGACATGTGATGAAAACCGAGGTCAATCAATGAGGTCAATTGCCAAAAAGCTGCATGTGTCTCTAAAAACAATGAGAAGGAATGTTCATGAAGACATTTGATACAAGTCCTACGTGATGAAGAGAGGTCAATTTATGTCTGAAAAAACAAAACAAAAAAACTGTTTAAACAGATCCTAAAGGCTGTTGAACAAACTTAAAAATACTTCAGAAGCTGGTGTGATTTGGTTTTTCTCAAATGAGAAAAATTTTGATCAAGATCAAAAACTTAACAGAAGAAATGACAGATGGCTTTGTTCAGATCCTTCTGGGGTGCCAAGAGTGATGCGCAAAAAATTTCCTTCAAGTGTTATGGTATTGGGTTTTGTTAGCAATGAAGGACATATTATGCCACCACACTTTTTTCCACAAGGTCTTAAAGTAAATGCTGCTGCTTACATTGAGGTTCTAGAAACAGTTGTCAAGCCCTGGATTGACAATATATGCAACGGTAGGCTTTACATATTCCAGCAAGACTCGGCTCCAGCCCACAAGGCTGTACGAATACAAGAATGGATGGCTGACCATTTGTACGACCACTTCAAACCCAACATTTGGACTCCTAACTCTCCAGATCTCAATTCACTTGACTATTATGTGTGGAAGCGTTGTTGAGAAGGAGGGTAATAAACAGTCTCATAAAATCAAAGATTCTCCTAAGGCTGCACTAGTTCGAGTGATGTCTGATATAAATAAGGATCAATTAATCAGAGCTTGCAACCGATTTTGACATCGTGTAGAGGCAATTATTGATGCTAGTGGTGGTTTTATTGAATAAAATTAAATAATAGTTAGCTAAATTTCATGTTTACTTGTTTGTAATCAAATATAATTATATTCATTTGTTCAGCAAGTTTTTTTTTTTTTACTAATCCATAAAATCAGTCCTCAAATACCAGACGCACCCTGTAAATGGTTGTTCGAAATTCCTGAAAGTTATCCGAATCGACGGACATCTGAAGAAGGCCGGGGGTGGGAACAACGGCTGAAACGTTGCAATGATAAGAAAGATGACTTTTTGAGAAAGACCGAAAATTAGTGAAGGTTAGAAAATCGGACATATTTTTTTTTTTTTTTTTTTTTGATATTTCGTAGCAAATTAAGATTTTGATTAGCTCTCAAGCAACTTAATTTTGGGACAGGAATTAGTACTTCACTTGCTTATTTTTTATACGTAGGTCTAATAGATAGAAAATAGAAGATATTTTATTTTAAATAAAAAAGAAGGTATTTTTAATGCAACCATAATTATAGAATTGGAATATTTGTTGAATACAATATCAAATAACGTCTTTGCTTTCAGGTGCTTTCTTTTTGTTTAATTTTACGTTTATCTTTATTTATTTTTGAGTTGCTTAGCCATCACCGACGTCATTAATGGAATTGCTTAATATATAGTCAAATTTGAAAATAGTTGCTTATGAACGAATTGAATACAGTTCCTTATAAACCTTTTTACAATCGTGTGTTTTAAGGAGAAAAATCAACTTGCCGATTACTTTAATCTTGATTATTACGGAGCAAGAACAATAAAAGCACAGAAATAAAGAAATCGGAAGATAGCGACTGATATTCCATGTACATTTTTGAAGATTAAACTTGACTCGAAAACAAGAAGAATGGAAGAGAGTTCCACAAGCGGGAAGTGCGACAGAAGAAACTGTTAGCCTAGAACTTACGGTTACATCTAGAAATTTCAACTGTAAAATGACGAGAACCTGCCTCAAATCTAGTTCTTCTTTATGTGCTGAACCTCCTCAGAAGGTAGGCGATCATAGCTCTCCACAACTTCCTTGTAGCTCTTAATAAAATTTCTCTTTCTGTTAAATCTCTTAAACCATGTTTCGCCATACATTTACTCAAGCTAAATAAGTATGTTATCCGTTGTTTTTCTCTGTCTCTCTTGTCTTCAATCTGTCCTGTGAGTATCAGATTCTCCAAGCCCTCCTTCCTCATTATTTGCTCCAGAAACCTCTTCCTGATGTTAAGTATAAGTTTTCTTTTTGTTTTCATTTTCTCTAAAATTTAATTGTTGTTCACATAATACTGCCATTAAATTCATAGATTCTACATACTAAAGAGGAAAAGTAATATTTATTTTGAATAATACAAAATGTGTGGCACAAGGCCGAACGGGAGCGTAAGGGAAGGCTGGTTTTGAATTTGTCTTATCTTAAACTTAGCTAGCTACTATTACTGACTAAACATACCTCATTATTCCTTACACCAAAACAATACATTCTTACTTAACCTTCTTACTACAGATACCATAATGCCTCAGAGTCTCTATATAGTCCTAACTAGTTCCCATATGTACAATTTGCCTTTTTAATTTAAAGTTATTTAAAAATGAAGCCCCAATTAATATTTACAATGAATACAATTCATATACAAGAAACTATACAAGATAGTGTTAGTAATTCTTAATTTTATCAGAAAAATCAGCTCACTGGACAAAAGTAATGCAGGGCTAGGTAATTAACTTCCACCAAACAATCACTTAAACTCACACTCATCCAGACACAAATACGAAATACACACTAGAAGAAGAAAAAGCGCCCTGCATCCACCAAAGAACTGACACCTCCGTCACTTATTGGGGGAGATAAGAGAAGAATTAACGTATCAAAGAGGCAAGTTCATCAAAAAAATTACCATGAAAATATTTATAGAAAAGGCACAGAGAAGCTATTTCACAGCGGCAGGAAAATGACTGAAGCTAAGATGCCAGGTAAAGACAAATGATATTGCAGATTCTGGATTTTATCAAGGATCTGTAACTACATCACCAGACCATTATGAAGCGGTACTATTCAAAGCATGAACGAATGGTAGACTTATAAATATATAAGATATATTCGGGAAGATAAGCTATACTGTGGTCAGTTGCTTACAAACGAATTTCTTTTCTTTTTTTAAATTGTATATTTGAATACAACATAATTTCTTGATGATGACTGACGAGGCAGATTTTTTTTCCGCAGTTGGTTGCCATTTCTTTCTGGATGGCAACTGGTCTAACGTGGAAAGAAATTATTTTAGAACATTTAACTGTTGTTAACAAATTGTTTTTTGCTGCTAAATTGCAAAAGAGGAGAAAATATCACAGAGGGCGGAGTCGAGAGGGCAGAGTCGAGAGGGCGGAGTCGAGAGGGCAGAGTCGAGAGGGCAGAGTCGCTCACACCCTCGCGAGAAGATCGAACGTTCAAAGAAACTACATACCCTCTATGGCCGAGGTAGTCCATAAGTGAATAAACATTTATTTTACGTATGGAAAATTTAACCTTGCATATTTATCAGACTTTATTAACATAACGTTAAACACTCGTGATGGTAGTACAAATAATTGCCTATCAGCTCTCTCTCTCTCTCTCTCCTTCTCAAACTATCGGCAGTGAGTTATTTTATTCTTGACTGTGAATAAAATATCACGCAATAAAAACTCCGGGACCATTTTTACGAATGATGATCCAATACAAGGCCTAATAGTCACTCAAGGTAGAGGGTTATTGAATGTGATATATGATATAAACTTAAGAACAGAAAGCTGGGAGTGAAAATTATGAGGACATAGAGAATGATTAACTCTAGACTTGGAGAGCGTAAGATTGTAGTGTGCGGTGAATTAAACATGATTAATCAAAATATTAATAGTAAAAAAATATCGTTGTTTTATTATTGCATTAAAAATTCTCAATTATAACTAGCCTGACTCGACACCATCTTAACCCAATGAATTATCGTTAATTCCGACGTACAAGTTGAGTTTTCAAGCATAAAAAAACCTTTCCAAATCTAAGGGTTGACTTATGTGATGGCTATAAAATGCAAACCTTTACCCCCGATACACATCAAAACTATCAACAAACTACCTGGTATAATGTGTAATCTACAGTATTAATATTTTATAGGAGTGGATGTTGACTTTAATGTATTTATCAGTAGACCTGATGAATTTTAAATGCCCACTAAGGTATACCGATACAATATACGATTTCTACCGGTATACCAATTTTCTAAGCGTAGTGGCACAAGGCCAAACGTATGGGGCACCCAATGAGGATCAAACTCAATACTCGGTCGTAATTGTTCTAGCGAGACAAGCTTGGTAACCATTGCACCACGCCGAGGTGTCCCAGTACCTATTGATATATGTTGTGTGTTGTTTGCTATACAACGTATATAGAAAGCTATAACGGTTAGTGTCTCAATATACAGGTAAGTGGTTCGACCTTATATAGTTTTGTCACAGGTTATCGTATACTGTAGCTCAACTTCATTTAAGGACTAAGTTTTGTGCCACTGTTAGCCGACAGTATGTTTAGGGGTCGACCTATACGGTAGGTATATGTCTAACTCAGAATTTTGTGCTAAAAATCTTGAGGATGGCGTGTACACCAGTTCAACTTATACAGCGTAATTTACGGTAAGATAAGAAGCAATGTAATATTACACTTGTAGTTTTGAATCGAGTTTAATGCCAGTGAGCAAGCTTTAATCTAAGAAGAATTGATCTGTGGTGACTCCAATATATAGCGAGTTCATTCTAATAGATGCCAAAGTAAGATTTGTGCCTCAAAGGGTTGAACTAGAACGTGACACCATAACCATTAAATGCAGAAAGATGTCGGTAGCTGAACATAGCATATTAATACACATGACAATCTGATGACAGGTACGTCCATCCCGCGATGTAGAGGGCAGAGTCGAGAGGACAGAATCGAGAGGGCGGAGTCGAGAGGGCAGAGTCGAGAGGGCGGAGTCGAGAGGGCAGAGTCGAGAGGGCGGAGTCGAGAGGAAAGAGCCGAGAGGGCAGAGTCGAGAGGACAGAGTCGAGAGGGCGGAGTCGAGAGGGCAGAGTCGAGAGGGCGGAGTCGAGAGGGCGGAGTCGAGAAGGAAGAGTCGAGAGGGCAGAGTCGCTCACACCCTCGCGAGAAGATCGAACGTTCAAAGAAACTACATACCCTCTATGGCCGAGGTAGTCCATAAGTGAATAAACATTTATTTTACGTATGGAAAATTTAACCTTGCATATTTATCAGACTTTATTAACATAACGTTAAACACTCGTGATGGTAGTACAAATAATTGCCTATCAGCTCTCTCTCTCTCTCTCTCTCTCTCTCTCTCCTTCTCAAACTATCGGCAGTGAGTTATTTCATTCTTGACTGTGAATAAAATATCACGCAATAAAAACTCCGGGACCATTTTTACGAATGATGATCCAATACAAGGCCTAATAGTCACTCAAGGTAGAGGTTAATTGAATGTGATATATGATATAAACTTAAGAACGGAAAGCTGGGAGTGAAAATTATGAGGACATAGAAAATGATTGATTCTAGACTTGGAGAGAGTAAGATTGTAGTGTGCAGTGAGTTAAACATGCAGGAGTGTTTCACAAAGTAGTGTTTTATTTATTTTTTTATTTTTATTTTTTTTGGCAGAAGCTTTCTAAGTAGTGCACTCTTCTTACGAATGAAATACGAAAGGTGATTCAACTTTGTGGTGGGAGCAAGATGGGTTTTGGCTATAAAGGTCAGAGGTGGTGGCACTAAAGAAAGAAGCTCGTCAGAACATTTGCCATGGAAATAGCGACAGGGTAGCCACGTTGTGTCTGTAGGGAAAGGGGGGGTAGGGTTAAAAATAAGTCGTCCCTTACAAACCCACGTAAAAGATTTTCAAAATTGCTGATCCTACGGCAACTTGAAGCAACAGAAATTTGGTTCTACAGAAGGATAGTGAGGGTAGCATGGACCGAAAATGTGAACAACGACGAATTTTACATGGAAGCAAAAAGCAAACTTAACAGCAGGAAGAGACATTTGAATTTTTTAGGGTAAATAATGAGGAAAGAGGACTTGGAAAATCTGATACTCACAGGACATATTGGATGCAAGAGGGACAGAGGAAAACAACGCATAACCTACTTAGTGAGCTTGAGTAAATGTATGGTGTAACAGGCAGTGGCCATTCTACGGGGGGGGGAGAGGCATATATATATATATATATATATATATATGTATATTGTCAGCAAGTATTCATCCAAACAAGTTTGATTATAAACAACAGACAGGGTCTGTCTGTTTAAATTTTTATTATATGATATGTCCCGGAAAGGGATATATTTGAACGAAGTAGCTAAGTGGTTTTGGCTACTATAACCAAGTAGAATATCAGTAATCGACTGGTACACGTCGTAGTCGCAGGTAAGAAATGTAGATCAATGGCGTAGTCCAATGGACGTCGTTATAGACTTAGCTCTCAGACTGAGGCTCTCCTCTTCTGACTCTCCTACATGTCCGTCGGTATTTATGACGGACACCAGCCAATCATATTCCAGTGAGGGGGAACACAGGTTTATGCATATTCCATAATATCATTATACTTTTCCAACTTTCGGATGAGCTGTTGAGTATTATATTCAAAGTTGTGGATAAACTGTCCTAAGTTTATGTTTTATTTTTGTTCAAGTACTTTCGACTTTTGCAGTCATTATCAAGAATAGATGTGGCGACGATCTAGGAGTTTTAACTCCTTTGTCTGCATCTTGCTATTCATTAGAACGATTGGCGTTTAAAATGGGCTAACCTGACGTCACGTGTAACTGTTATTGGGAAATCGAGATAATTAAAGATAATTTAATAAAGAAAAAGAACGTTATCAAGTTTCTTGGGGGCACAGATCAATAGACGTAATGCACATTATTTAAAATAAAGAAACAAGGGATCTATTTCAATTACGAGTGTCCACTAAAATCAACGTTTGAAGTAATTATATATATATATATATATATATATATATATATATATATATATATATATATATATATATTGTTACGTCCGGGCTTTCGTTGGGACTACGATAGCCGGAACGCAACGAGAAAATAAAAAAAAAATAAGTAAGAGATCCCAAAGTTCGATATAAAAATAAAGAAAAGAACGTTTGGAGGGGAATTCTCCAATTCCGGACGTCGGTAAACGCAGAGAGAAAATGTACAATTCGCAGACACAGAACAACAGAAGACAACACGAGAATATATAATACAAAGATTTTATTTCGAGAATACACGGAGTGTGAATGTAAGAAAAAGAAAAAGAAAACTGAATAATACAAGGGATGGGGAGATAAGTTACTAATTAAACAAATATTAATGCGGCGAAATGCATACGAATACGAAAATAGCAGATTATAAGATATGGAAAAACATGCAGAAACTTACATAAGGTTGGAATCGATGTCGATTGACTATTATCGGGGTACAGTTTGTTCAAAGGATATTCATACACTTCTTTGAAAGTAACGGGTGGGATTGACAATGTTCTATGAATTCTTGACAGGCGACGTCCGATCCGTGTTGATGGCGAGGAGAACACACAGAAAAATCACGGGAGTTGACTTGGGTTAACGATGTTGATCTAGATTCTTGAGTCGGTCCTTTGGTTTTTGATGACATCTAATTCTTCTGACATCAAACAACGAAGTCTGGTTCTGGTGACAACTGCTTCTTCTAATGGCAAATAGCTAAGACTGTTTTTTGGTGACGTCCGACTCCTCTGATAGCCAGCAACTATGTGTGGTTGTTGTTACCTTAATACGTGAGAAATGAAAACTGCTATATTTTGAGTCACGTGTTGGCCCCCCAAAAAGGTATGCGTCATTCACGGACCCTGTTAATATCATCCACAGTTATCTGTCAAGCAGCGTTTGTTTTGACCAGCGACTATGGAACTGTTTAACATCATTCACACCTATCTCACAATCTGCATATTTAAGAAATAAAGAAGTTAAGATTCATATGTTTCGTCGCAAATACAAAAGGTACTGAAAATATGCTTATAAAATCTGAGGTGAGGGTACAAATATGGGGTTAACGTAACAATATATATATATATGTTCACGTCGATACGACTCGGAGTTGCATGCAATTCTTATAATTTTCAGGTGCAAATATGTGAACATTCTTGCAATCTTCAGGTGTAAATATATGAACATAATTGTCACCTGAAGATTGCAAAAACTGAATTAAACTCCGAGCTGTGCTATCGACGTTGGATTTTATGTATATTCATTAATATATACTTATAACTCTGTTTCAACATTTTAACATTGAACAGTGTATTTATAACACCTGAGGGAGGAATATATTTATACGTACGTGCAGGTATATGTACGTGTATGTAGATTTTTTATTACATTCGAACATATGTAAATCCTTAATATTAATAATTTGGATTATGTTGATCATATCGCTTCTAAATATATTAGCCATAAACTAAAGATCAGCAATAGGGTTGGCAAAATTTGTACAAAGCGGTTTTACATCTGTTGGAATGTAATATCCGATAATAAGGGATTATCGCTCTACTACTGTATTGGGATTAATTTTTAAATTAATATTGCGAACGTTTGAATTTATATTTGATTCGTTCTCCTTTCAATTGGTTATATATATATATATATATATATGTTAAGAAATGGACAAGGTCCGACAATTTATTTATTAAAGACATTTTTTTTTTTTTTTTTTTGTTATTTTTAACAAGTATTTAAGCAAATTTTATAGATACAAGTATTTTTAAGCCAAATGTCGAGAATTGCTCTGTTTCGTTCTAAACAGATTATTAAATAACATTTACCGGCCTGAATGTTCGGTGAAAGGTTTTTCACTGCTTCTTATCATGATTCAAATGACATCCTATATTTCGGAACATATGTCGTCATTTGTTTACATTCGATACGCCAGAGCAACATGCGTGTACGAGATTCATGGAAGATTGAGTTTATAAACTAAATTGACCTTGAATCTGATTGGTTCTTTGTAGCTCTAGAGGTAAAGGTAACGTCAGCGTATATGACGGTTCCGTATAGGATGCAGGTTCGAATCCTGTCAAAGAACGAAAGTTTTCATGAAAATTTTCGACATTCAGGCCGGTAAATGTTATTTAATACTGTTTATCATAAACAGAGCATTTGCTTAAATACTTGTATCTATAAAATAACAACGTTAAAAAAAAAAAAAAATGTCTTTAATATAGATATATATATATATATTGAACGCAATAGTCATTCCATTCAAGCATCAGACATGTCCTCAGTTTCGAATTTTATATTTACATACGCTGTATCCTTGATATTGATAACTTTTACCCATAAATATAGCATTATATATATATATATATATATATATATATATATATATATATATATATATATATATATATAGAGATAATATTAGTGGTTAATATACACACACATATGCAATCATATATCTAAACTACACATACATCCATACATACATATATATAAAAAAATAATTCTCAGAGGATAGAATTCAGGTAGAACTTCATGTCCGGGACAGAGTAAGAATATAATAAAGGCTTAAACACTAATATTCCATGGTCATAATTAATTCCATTGGAATTGTAAATACGATCCAATTCATCAGACCTACAAATTCAAAAAAAATGGAATAAATTATGACCATAGAATATTAGTGTTTAAGCCTTTATATATATATATATATATATATATATATATATATATATATATATATATAATAAAAATAAAATAAAAATATATAGATATAATAAAAAAATATATATATATATATATATATATATATATATATATGGAGAGAGAGAGAGGGGGGAGGGGGGAGAGAGAGGGGAGAGAGTCATCTTTTTATCTTTTTTATAGATGCATCAGATATTTACTGTACAAATTTACTCTTAGGAACAAAACTACGAGCAATGGCTTGCGACATTAGTGCGTTCACTATTTGCGCACGCAGTGGGATTTGACCCGTGAGATTCAAGTCAATGAGTGTCAAGTACAAACTTATTAATATCTGAAACTCCATGCGCGTTTTATCGAAGATTGACTCTTTAAGTGTTGATCAGGCGACGTTTTTATGATTCAGCGAATGTGACGATGAACCCTCGTTAGTTTAGCCTTTGCAGTCACGTGATCTCAATTGAAGCATTCAAATATGAAGTGAGATGGAAAGAGTTCATCCGAATGGAAATCCGATAGCGAGAGTTGAACAGTCTGTTTAGGGCACTGAGCGATCAAGTCTGAATACACACCATAACATAGGTGGGCGTATCAAAACTAGCTCAGTTAGATTTTTTCTCAAATTGCAGATTCAAGGATGGTTATCTCCTGTTTGATAAGTTATTGAAACCGTTCCAAAGTCGGAAAAGAATTTTGGGTTAGTTGTTTTTCAATGTCGTCGCCATTGGAATTCACTGAAAGAAGAATTTTTACCAATCAGTTGAAAACGGGGATAAATACACACACACACACACACACACACACACACACACACACACACACTGTTAATTTTGGTCGAATATCGGAAAGAGACACAATTGATCATTTAATAATTTCGATTAAAACAGGCATATTAACACGACAGGAACGAAAGACAAAACGTTTACGTTACAGTAAAGTGGTATTATCGAAAACAAAATAAGAAAAACAAAGAAAATTTTAACTGGTTCATGGTTCCTCTCGACTCATAGCTCGATCGAGCATCGGAAATATGCCCAATGACGAAAATCAGCAACACCGGAGAGCTGGTGTCATATGATAAATATATAAACACTAGCAGCATGGCCCGGCGTTGCCCGTGCTTGATTCAAAAATCGTACGACTCATACAGCAATCGCTATCACTTGACTTTATTTTTGCCCTTCCTTGCCTTTAAAGGAGTGCTCTTTGCCGTGCTGATGTTGCTACATGCCTTACTTCTTGCCTATCTCACACTGCGAATTTTTTCTAAGCTCTATACTAAACATTAAATCTGTTACGAAAAAAAGAACTAAACAAAATGAACACAAAACGATCAGCTTTAAAAAAGGACTCGTAACTGGAAAAACCGAATGAAAAAACAATGTTAACAACAAATACTTTTTCACACCCAACCCAGTTCTGCGGAATCAGAATCAACGTTGAGTTTAAGTAAACGAATGAGCCAATTGGAGTAAAGTGCCATGCAGATTTAAATTTTTCCCACTTGTGACGAATGCAGCTATCGATTTTTTTTTTGCATGCTAGCAAGCTAGTTAATATTCGTGTCAGTCAGCTGTTGGCTCTCACGCTGGCCAATAGAATCTTCCTGCTTATTCGTGGCAGCCAGCTATAGGCTCTCACTCTGGCAGTACAAAATAACCGCAAACTACATGAAAAATACCGTAGAAGCATGACAAAATTGATTATTTCCACTATGCAAAGTCGGTCTTGGCCTTCCTGCTAACTTGGAGCATGTGCATATAAATTTTAGTGCAAATCCGTCGAAAATTGCGGCCGTGCATTCGTTACACACACACACACACACACACACACACACACACACACACACACACACACACATCCTGCCTTTTATCGACAGAGATCAAAGTCTAATCATACTTAAATCTTTTGAACAGGAGTAAAGGTTTATTCCCTTGTTTTCGTTTCGTACTAATGTCTACTTCAACTCTATACTTCTAACTTCCCTGCCAGAACTCTGAAATTTTCTCACTACTTTACTTCTTAATATCTAAAAATGACCGACAATCAGTTGTTAACAGGAGCAAGAAATGACTCGTTAATTTTAACGCCTCCAAAAAAAAATGCCCTCCTTAGAGAACCTTTTTGTCTCCCATCAACATAGCCGATGCTCACCTCCAGGAGAATAATTCATTGGGCCTTCTTGGTCTAACGTTTTCCACTGACATGAAGTGGAACGATTATATCGAATCAATTGCAAGATCTCCTGATAGGAAAGTTTGTTCAATGTGTTGTTCTAGATAGTTTCTCTTGTTAGAATCTATCTTACACATTTATACATCTACCAATCGTCAGGGGCATTGAATATTCCTACCACATCTGGTCTGGTGCTTCGGCTAGGTATCTATATATTCTTTATAAAATCCAAAAAGAATCAGCAATTTTATCTGTCCTGACCGGGTAACTGTTATGTAGTGGTTTCACAGTGGAGGCTTGTATTTGTACTAAGTCGGTCCTAAAATAGGTTCGACGTACAAATCGTTAGGAACTTGATATAATAGGTAATGACGCAGTAATCTAGTTGTGGTGGCTGGTACTTTAATATCCGACTAACAGTTGTCCGACATCGACTGACTCACCAACTCTCTCCGATTGCTGCTACTACTCCTATTTATTATAGGTGGAGAGTCTATTAACAATAGAATAGGTATGTTCCAGTATAACAGTAACCCAGCTTTTCCTCCTTCTTGCTTTCCTGTAAGTGATGATCTTCAAAAGTTTAAATGTAACGTCAATCGTCATATTTGTCTACTTGGATCCTGTTCTTTTATTGTCCTTTCTCCACAATAATATTTTCTCAGTTTCTTTTACTCTCCGTAATCTCTTGTGTTTTAATTGTTTGGAGTGAAATGACAATTTTCTAAGCGTAGCTTATATGTAGCACAAGGTCGAAAATATTGGGGTATCCAGTGAGGATTGAACTCACTACTCAGTCGTAATTATTCTAGCGAGACGAAATTGTTAACCATTACACCACGTCGAGGTGCTCTGGTTTGGTGTGAAATGATTGAAAAAACAAAACGGTTTTTGTATCATAACAAACACCAGATGCAACAAGACACAACAGGTTGCCTATTTTCATTAGTCGGCAAAATCTTTCTGTATCTAACTTAAAAAAAAACGTAATGGCTTGTTTTTATAATAATTCGTCTAGTAAAGATAATTGGTGAAATAAACCAACTTTATTTTACGACTACAGAGAAGTATCTTGTGTTATAATAAACGTGGATTTTAGACAATGAGTTTTTGTTCTTTATGTAATCAACACGAATGGAACAAAAATAATGATTGTGCTAGAAGACAAAATATTTTTGTTAATCTGATAACAGACTCATCTCTATGATAACAGCCAGGGTGAAAGAGGATAATGTTACGTATGAATACATATTAGAGACTGAATAAAAATTTCCGAAGTCTGTAACGGTGAATTTTTAAAAAAATGCCTTCCTCACATCTACGCGAGAAACTGACTAAATATTTATGTACAGACGTTTATTTTTTTCTTGTTAAAGAACTGGAATATTTGCATATAATAGACGTGCGGGAGTTTTCTTTTTGGTACCGTAACAGACCATAAATTATAGACGGGCATAATAGAATGGTTCGAACAAGTGTGTATTAAATCTGTGAAAGGACACTGTGAAGAGAAATGGAAAACTTATCTTAGCCGACGTATTTCATCCTCTGATGGACTTTATCAAGTCAAATGTCTTGCCTTGGTAAAGTGCATCAGAGGAAAAAACGCGTCGGCTAAGATAGGTTTTTCTTTAGTCTTTATTCGTAATAAAATATTTCAGAAGCTTTATTTTTCAATTTGCTAATAATGGGATTTGATAGGACTTATGTATTTTTAACGCATTTAACAGTTTATATCTACAGCATAACATAGAAATTTATAAATAAACCAAAAGAAGGTTCCATAAAGTTCTAGAATGTTCTAGAAAGTTCTAGAAGGTTCTAGAAAGTCATAGTACTACTATATTTATATAAGATTTTGAAATTTCGATTTAAGAAAATAAACTTCATTAATTTTTAACAAAAATTCATTATGATACAGGAAATCAATTATTTTAAAAAATGTCAAAAAGGCATAACCTTAATGGATATAAACAAATTTGCTCAAGGTCAACTGATACAGTCTGCTTTCTTTGAAATTTTTACAATTTAGAATAAGATGTACATTTGAACCAAAGTTGTGAAAAATATTCTTCGCTACTATATATCACTTGACACAACTACTAATATAAGGAAAATATTAGTTGAAAACCCCCTAAACATTATGTCACTCAATGCAAAGACGCAAAACCTAGAAGTGGTTACCATACAAAAGAAAGAACATGTATTAACATCTTTACCAACAGGAGAGGATATTTTAAAGCGTCTATAAAATATGAATATTTGATACATTTTTTTTCAAGTGCCGTCGAGCTATGGGAAACCATTTTACACATGACGTTATTTATCCGATAATGTGTATATTGGAATAAGCAGGGTTCCCATGAACAGCCCCATAGTTGAGGCCATCGTATATAGTACGTTATTCATGTCAGAAAATAATAGTTTGCCTGAATAGAATTTAATACCAATGTGAAACGTTTTTATCTGGAAGAGGTTGATCTGCTGAAAGATAGCCTCCTAGCCACCAGGTGCATATCGACTACGAGTTCGTTCATGGTACGGCATTTCTCCTACGTGAATAAGTATAGCGTTATTAAAATCACCAACTTAGATTCTTCTAGAAACCAACAGATATTAACATATTAACATATATTACTTACTATTCCTTATAGGCGGGTCGCTGAGTGGATAGAACGTTCGAATTTCTAAGCTCGCGTCACATTTGAAAAGTGCCTGAAAATCGTACCAGGAATTGACACGTCTTGTAAATTAAATTGAATAGACGAATTCTGTAAGTAATTCTAACTGTATTTTCTTAAATCCAAAATGTAATAAAAATAATTTAGTTGCTGAAGGATGTTGTCAAAATATGTTAATTGCAATTAATTAACTTTCCACCAATATTTTCCATTAGAAACAAAAATCAGCAATTGAGGATATATAACATAACATCGGAGAATTGTCGTAACAAATGATTCTATTGATTTGGCTTAAATAAAAATACATTTTTAATCAAGATAAACCTCCAGGCTTTAAATGTCCCTACGTTCATTCTCTCGAATTTAAACGTTCTTGTTTTATCTATGTATATGTTAAATGTCACTATATTTTTCAATATAAATTGAATTTTCGTGTTTCACCTTTCAATGTTAAATTATCTTACATCACATATTGCTGGGTTAAATTTCTCAATATTCTATTAGTCAATTTTATTTGCATTATTTCGTTGTTTATTTCATTCTCTTTCAATTATTCTATTTATTCCATATTTAAGTCACCCTCAAACATTCCTTATTCCATTCTCTTTCAAGCAATTTTATTCATTCCTTATTTCTTTCTCTTTCAAACACTTTATTTTATTCTCTTTCAATCGTTCTATTTCATTCTTTGTTTCATTATCTTGCAATCACTTTCTTTATTCCTCCATTCTTTCTCTTTCAAACACTTTATTTTATTCTCTTTCAACCGCTCTCTTTCATTCTCTTTCAGTCATTTTAATCCATTCTTTGTCAATCACTTAATTTCATTTATTATCTATTTTTCTTTGAATCACTTTATTTCATATTTTATCTCAATTTTCATTATTTTTCAATCACTTTCTTTCATTCTCTTTCAGTCGCTCTATTTCTTCCTTATTTCAATCAAGTTTCTAATCTGTTCATCTTTTTCATTTTCAATCTTTTCATTTCATTCTTTATTTGCGTTCTCTTTCAAATATTTTCTTTATATAGCTTTATTTCATTCTCTTTCGCTCGCTGTATTATTCATTATTTCATTCACTTTTAATCCCTTTATCACATTCTCTTTCAATATTTCTTTTCATTCTCTTTCAATCAATTTATTTCATTCTTTTTCACTCGAAATGAGACATTTAAGAGAAATATATATTCGACCCTTACTCTCTCTTCTGCTGAATTCTCGTCTTTCTCTCTTTCCCTTTAACGCGCCATGTTTTTATCCGTTTTAAATTGGGCAGGGAAGGTAAGAATCGAATTGTATCGATTTACCTTGAGATTAAACAGCAAAATGTGTTCATGAGAAAAGAAAGCAACAGGTTTCTCATAAAAGAATGAAAGTTTGAAAAACAAGCTTACATTTTACTTACAATAAAATAATCAACTATTGATAGCAACGAACTTCCTGATTTCATTAATTTCCAATTAAGTATTTATGCTGATGACAACTATTTACTATTATCTTAATAGTAAGTCCAATAGATCCGGCAATGTAAAACTGGCAGTTGCTCTCGAAAATGACTTCCAATCAGTTGTTAACTGGAGCAAGAAAAGACTTCAAAATCATTACACCTATAAAACGGAACTAGTATCCTTTTATCATCATAAAGAACTAATTTTCGAGACAATTTCATTCGTCAGAATCAATCTTACGCATTTATAAATCAAATCCGTGTATATACTGTCATATAATGCCTGGTCTTCCTGCTATATTTCTCAAGATTCTTGACAAAATACAAAGGAGAGTCTGTAATGTTATCGGTCTGGTATCTCGACATCTGTTACTGTCACACCGCCTTGACGTGGCTTCCTTCCCTATTTTCTATAAATATTTTCATGGCAATTATTTCTACGGACTATCCTCCTTTGTACCTCGCCCACGTGAATTTAAGCGTACTATTAGATTGCCAACTAGGTTTCATCATACTGTTGAAATATCTTGGTCTAATCGTGAGTTCTGTTTTAATAGTTTCTTTTCTTGCCTATAGAAATCTCTTCCACTTTCTCGCTTCCCTGCCCCCTACAATGTTTTTTTTTTAAATTAACAAGAGGGACATGGCGAGAATTTCTATGAGAGATCAATAGACATTTTACAATCCGGACTTAGCCTATTCTGACTTTTAATTATTTTTCAACCTTAAATACATTGAAAGGCATCCATTTTGAGAGCATTAATGCCATAAAAGGGCTGATTTACCATGGTTAAATTCTCAGTACCCTCAATTGTTTCAGGATTGTATAAATGACTGGTATTATCTCTTACATTCGTACCATAATGATGGAGATTATATTGAGAAATAAAATTATGACTTAAAAATCTTAATTCTATTTTTTCCACGAACTTTTTGAATTCTCCAGTTGACGTTAAAAATCAAAATATATTTTTTTCGTAGCCTCGTCAGTCGGGAATGCGAACCTCTTCAAAAATCTTTTTGAAGGCGTAGACTTTGTATCGACGTATAATACTGAGCCTCATGTTCTGTAATTTGAGTCCATCACGAACAAACCCAGAAATAAGTACTCGTTAACATTATTGTTGAAATGCTTCTAAATTTATTGACACAATGTTCTGTGCGTCAACAAGTGAATCAACCTGTTGCCTTTTTTTTCCTTTAAAGCTGTAGTTTGTCGATCAAAGCAGGCGCATTGAAGAGATGATGAATTTGCCAGTTGCATGAATATTTTCTATTTATTTTGAGAGCTTACGTTTCTGTCTTCCGGTAGCTCGCCACAGATGTATATTTCATTTGTAATCTTGTCAATGCCGAAATTAACAGAGGACCAAAAGTGTGACACAGAAATCCCAAGGCGGATTGGAATAGCGAATGATGCCTTTCAAAAGCTGAGCAAAGTATTAAGAAACAGAAAAATATTTTCAAATTCATCTCGTTTTTAATGCCTTTTTAAAGAAATCTTTAAACCCTTTATCTGTCAAGGCCATTTCCGTGTTTACTATACAAGCATTTAAGCTTGTTTTCAGATTTTTAACTATCGCAAGGTAACTCAGCTTATTTGGCAAATAGAATTGGCTGATATATATAGTGTTTCACATAATAAAAAACTGTGCATCACATGTGAAACACAGAACGTACAAATCATAAGTTATTTACACTCTGCTTTGTGCATCACATGTGATGCAAAGCATATAATGATTTCAATAAAGTGTAAAAATAGATGTCTTTCATTTGAGACCTTACATTATCAGTCAAGCATCCTGTGGGGATATATGATGCCCAAAATATGAGATTAGGCCTTGCGTCAGGCATCCTGCTCAATAGTAGACTCTTTTATTAAACGTCCTTAGTTTTATCACTCTTTTAAAATCATGGCTCGTAGGCACCACATATGATACTCGGACGGGTAAAATCACATGTCCTGGGTATTATACATGATGCTCAACATATGATGCTCGGATGTGGAAATCACGTGCCCTGGGCATCACATATGATGCTCAGATATGGAAATCACATGTCCTGGGTATCACATATGATGCTCGGATGTGGAAATCATATGTCCTGGGTATCACATATGATGCTCGGATGAGGAAATCATATGTCCTGGGTATCACATATGATACTCGGACGTGGAAATCACGTGCCCTGGGCATCACATATGATGCTCGGATGTGGAAATCATATGTCCTGGGTATCACATATGATGCTCGGATGTGGAAATCATATGTCCTGGGTAACACATATGATGCTCGGATGTGTAAATAAATGTCCTGGTTATCACATATGATACTCGGACGTGGAAATCACGTGCCCTGGGCATCACATATGATGCTCGGATGTGGAAATCACGTCCTGGGCATCATATATGATGCTCGGATGTGGAAATCACATGTCCTGGGCATCACATATAATGCTCGGATGTGGAAATCACAAGTACTGGGTATTACATATGATACTCGGACGTGGAAATCACGTGCCCTGGGCATCACATATGATGCTCGGATGTGGAAATCACGTCCTGGGCATCATATATGATACTCAGATGTGGAAATCATATGTCCTGGGTATCACATATGATACTCGGACGTGGAAATCACGTCCTGGGTATCACATATGATGCTCGGATGTGGAAATCACATGTCCTGGTTCTCACATATGATGCTCGGATGTGGAAATCACATGTCCTGGGTAACACATATGATGCTCGGACGTGGAAATCACGTGCCCTGGGCATCACATATGATGCTCGGTTGTGGAAATCACGTCCTGGGCATCATATATGATGCTCGGATGTGGAAATCATATGTCCTGTGTATTACATATGATGCTCTGATGTGGAAATCATATATCCTGGGCATCACATATGATGCTCGGATTTGGAAATCATATGTCCTGGGCATCACATATGATGCTCGGATGTGAAAATCACATGTCCTGGGTATCACATATGATGCTCAGACGTGGGAATCACGTGCCCTGTGCACCACATATGATGCTCGGATGTGGAAATCACATGTCCTGGTTCTCACATATGATGCTCGGATGTGGAAATCACATGTCCTGGGTAACACATATGATGCTCGGACGTGGAAATCACGTGCCCTGGGCATCACATATGATGCTCGGTTGTGTAAATCACGTCCTGGGCATCATATATGATGCTCGGATGTGGAAATCATATGTCCTGTGTATTACATATGATGCTCTGATGTGGAAATCATATATCCTGGGCATCACATATGATGCTCGGATTTGGAAATCATATGTCCTGGGCATCACATATGATGCTCGGATGTGAAAATCACATGTCCTGGGTATCACATATGATGCTCAGACGTGGGAATCACGTGCCCTGTGCACCACATATGATGCTCGGATGTGGAAATCACATGTCCTGGGCATCAGATATGATGCTCGGACGTGGAAATCACGTGCCCTGGGCATCACATATGATGCTCGGATGTGGAAATCACGTCTTGAGTATCACATATGATGCTCGGATGTGGAAACCACGTCCTGGGCATCACATATGATGCTCGGATGTGGAAATCACGTGCCCTGGGCATCACATTTGATACTCGGACGTGAAAATCATATGTCCTGGGCATCACATATGATGCACAGACAGGCATGGGGTTAAGTACACTGGTTACAAATTGATCTTGCATTATAAAATCTTCTTGAACTGACTCAATGGGTTTCATTGAACTTTGACAAATAGAAAATGAAATTTTTCATCCTTTTCATCATCACCTGTCCGAATTTCATCAAAATAAAACAAAAAAAGCATTAGATTTAAGTCTGCGAAAGTTCATCAATTGACAGCTATAGTTTATCTTGTGTTCCTTGTCTGTGAGAATAGGATCCATACAGTCTGTTCCAATCCGTTAATTCGAATGTAAATTAAGCATAAGTGTCCTTCTAGTTCAGACATTCTTTAGAACATTGCCATTGCTCACGTGTTCTGTCCATGGTATTTTTAGCGTTTTTCTGTGGAACGACGTCGCTTCGTATCTCGTTCTCTATGAGGAACTTGTGTCCAGTATTCCCTGCTATAGAAGGAGGATAGATATTACATAGCAGTCCAGCACTCTTCTATTTGATAATAGCGAAATAGTCCTATGTCTTAATACTTTGCTCAGTTTCTGAAAGGCGTCTTTCGATATTCTGATTCGCCTCCATATTTATGTACCACACTTATTGCCGTCTGTTACACTATCCAGATTTTAAACCCCAACCAAGGCAAAAGCCCCCTAGGATGTAAAAGGTTATCGAGTGTTAGAGAATATGAGGAAAAAAAAACTGCTATTAAGGAGAGGACAATAAAATAATAAAAATTAAGAAGACAGAAGAAAACGATTAACATTGCATTTAAATTTTTGAAACTCAAAATAGTTTCAACCAGCATCATCAATATCCTGCGAAGTGCTTCGTCTATTTTTTTTAAATTAAAAACTTTGTCCAAGTAATTAAATGGAAACAACAGCAAAACTCACAACCTTCTCTTACTCTAGGTCACTGGTGATGAACCAGCATGTCATTATAAAACAAATGCAGGTGAAAAGGAGTATTTTTATAATAATAATAATAATAATAATAATAATAATAATAATAATAATAATAGCAACAACAATAATACAATGATAATAAAATGTGGAACATGGGAACATCATAGTTGGAGCCCTCGGATTGGTTGGAAAAGATTCCAGTAGAATAATTGAAGAGATTCCTGGAAGCTCATGCCTTAAAGAAATACAAAAAATTACTCTCACGACACA